GTGCGAGAGCCCATCGATAGACCGAATGACCGTGACCACTGCTCAGTTTCACTTTAGTTTTTACAACTAAAAATCATACAGTTTCGTGCGCCGGTTTTGGTGGCTGTCTTAGCCGCCCATTTGGACAAAAAAAACAGAGTGAGGATTGGAATGTCGAGAGCAAATTCAAGGGGAAGTTAAAGAATTCGTATGTATGTGGACCGCGGTTTGAAGAATATTGAGCAGATGCGTGAGCGCCACTGTTTACGACACAGCCGTATCACTCAGTGCCTCTAATCACGATCTCGAGGTCTCCGTCCACGGAGCCTAACGGTACATGGTTAGCTCTTGGTCAGGGTTTTCAAACACTCAAACCAGACCTTGAATTAACATTTTTTCACCCGGTACCTACCTTGTCTTGTTCAATACATGCCCCAGCATCTGTAGTCTGTGGCGGTCGACCACTTGTACCAGTGAACGACCGCGATTACCTAAAACTGCGCCTAACCTGGGAGCAAATCGATGCTGCTATCTTCACACAAGGATAGGTCTGTTTCTTTACATCGATGGTAAGTTAAATGAAAAAGGAGAGAGCGGGTAACCTTGGTGAACACTACTTTCCGTGGTGACCTCGGAGTGTAATGTCAGCGAAAAGTTTTGGAGACGATTTTGATTAAACTAATTCCTCCATGACTTTCACAAAAGGATCTTCCGCCTTTCTTGTAAATCGGTACGATGACCAATTCACAGCATTCAGTTGGAACCTGTTCCCTCTACCTCACTGAGCCCAGGAGGTTCGTTAACTCCGAAACCAAGGCTGAAAAAGATTGCGACTGTTACCGATAACCGCAGCCTTCATCTCTCTACATGTTCCTGTCCACCACTTCTGGCGGTCATTCCTCAGGCTCTTGATGAACTGACCTTGTGTTGTGGTCATCCGATTCCGGTGACTTTTCCGCATTATGCCCATGAGGATGTCCGTTTCGGCTTTCATAGTAATTTGCTCTCCTTCGATCAAAGACAAAACATATTCCAGTAAACGTTTCGAAACGACCATTTGAAAGACCAAATTGCAGCCTGATCCATTGGTCATGATACTGAAGAACATTCCGGAGGCAGCCGTACTAATTTGACCTTGGAGAATACTACGGCTTTGTTGTGACAAGAGGCGTGGTCTATAAATAGTAAACCAGAGCGTCTTTGAGAAACCATCTTACGGTTGGTATCGGAGAGCCAACTCTGAAATAAGGCAGAGGTCATCCATGCGTTCTTTAAAGAATCATAACTGCTTGCACAATTCGGAGACAAGTAACTGTTGTAATCGGTTTGTTTTCCTCGCAAGGATTATCCAATCGGTGAGCAGTGTCATATTCGCGTCACTTCAGGTAAATGTCATTAGCTGAATTGAATATGGCAGGGTCGTTGATAAATGGCCGTCTCGACCGTTGGTCATAGTCTAAATGAGTAGGTGTCAGGAACTGCGATATATTGAGATGGACGATGTTGTATAGTCCGAAACGACGTTATCACGCATACGGTTGGTTGGGTTTTGGGAAAAAATGTGTAGATTTTGGAAAATGCGACTTCTCAGGGGTGAGACATAACAAGAGATTGACAGTATGGTTAGAACCATTTGATTCTTCTCTTACCGAAGGACAGCAGTTAGAACTGGTTGAAAACACGAGCGTAAATTACAATGGAAAGCAGATTTCAGCGCTTCTTATCCGTTAATGTGCTCTAATTAATAACATGTGGTGGCGCTTTCATTATTGATTACTCAATATCTCCCCATTGGTTGATGTGCCTAATCTGATGAATCCTTAAGCGCCTCTTCAACTTAAGCCTTAGGTTATCGGTTCATTGCGATGTGTAATAAAAACGATTCATATGAAAGAAAAGGGATATAGATTCCACTTGAAATGACTAATTTATTTTTACATGTGTTGATCGCCTTTCGATCAGGACAAGTGGCATCGCGCCCACCGTGTTCCACCAGAAACCAGAATGGCACAAAAGAAGTCACACAATCGCCACATAGATGTGTTCGGTAGTCGCGTTGGTCGTGTTCATGTTGGCAAACAAGAGACTATGGACGAGCTACGCCCAGCCGCGTCGCTTCGCACGGCACTTACTGGACATCGGAAGCGAGGTTTCGAACGTCACAAGAAAACCACCAGAGAAAAAGATAAATCCGAACCTGCGAGGAAAAAAACCAAGGTCTGATTTTTCTATGATGATAAACTTGTAAATAAAACGAATATGTATTCATTGCATCCTTGTTTGTCAGGTGATTAGCTTTATTCATCGGAACATATAGTACCTTTCTGGGACAGTTGTCACATGCTGCGGCTTCTTCCACCATTAAACGGATGCTCTGGGACTTACGCCAATTTGGGGGGTGGTTTGTTGGTAAATGGCTCCTCGTGTTCGTTTGCTGGAGTAAAAGTTCCAGAAATCCCGTTGTCCAGTCAACTACCTTTGTCTGCCGTCTACTTCAGGCATGGTGATATTCTCAGTTGTGAAGGTCATCCTGCTTAGCTCGCTGAGTCATATAAGCACGTAAGTCAACTCGATACATCTATATACAGTCTCGTGGTGATATCCCTGTTCCAAGCCTAACCCAGTGGGGTCATATGTGATTCACCACTCCACGTCCCGGTGCTTAAGTTGTCGGTTACCATCACTGAACATTAAGTCTTCGAGGCTATGGAATCCACCCAGTCTGTTGTTCATCACACAGTAGTGTTATAGAAAAAGCTGTCTTTCTTTTGTCTGTTCCTTTCCAAACCGGCAACCAGAAGACAATAAACGAAACTTAAATTAGATACCCGAGGAAGCGTGAAACTTCATTTATCCGCTTTCATTCCATCCTTTGTTACTAGGCAACTTGGGGTGGGCATTTATCAACGGTGATGGTGTTCGGAATCGACTCCGGTGCTCGATGTCGTAGGTTCAGACGCTTGCACTTCATACAAATTTACCATCATACCTTATCTACTTAGCCGCTTTGTTTTGGGGGTATATACATTCAGGGCTCAGGTTGCCGGTTAACATGAAAGGCCATCGTGTCTCTGGGTGTTACCTATTCTACTGCTCAACACCTAGATGTGCAAACTAGAAAAGGTTTTGTGGTGCACTTTTGCTGTATGAACACATTGTCCTCGACTGAAATGCACCATTAATGTACCTTGATGGATTTTATTGGTATTCTTGTTACATTTCTTCCAGAAAACTGTGACAGCCTTTCTTTGTTACTCTCGTCAGCGTGGCCGGGGGTGGGTATCTAGGGTTGCGGCTGGTCATCCTTCCATTGCATCTCACGAAATGCTCCCATACAAACAGGCCTTTCGAATAGCCTCTGTTGAGGAAGCCATACTGCCGTCTCGTGGCGGAGTTGTTTCCCGCCAAAGTGAGAGGACAAAAGCCGACATCCGGGTTCGTGGTCCATTGGTAGTTCACCTAGGGGAGTTGGCCAAAAACCCTGATTCCAAACCAACCACGAGGAGGCGTACGAACCACACACAACTTCCTGGTTGTGACAGTGGTCACCGGCTCGATTGGGCATCGAGGGGTATTGGGTATCTTGGACGTTTGGTCCCGTCTGAAGGGCGTATAATCTGGATACTGGCCCCCAGTGGATTGTGGTTTTCGCACACCGCCCCGCTGCCTTGCGGGTCAGGCTTTGGCTAGCCAAAGGCTCCGGTTGTGGACTCCTCAAGAGAATTCACCTGCCTTGGCCTGGGCAACCTGGCAGTATTCCGCCCAAATGCAAATCATGGAGCGTTTTTTCTTGTTGATGAGGATTACTGTACCATGTTTTGTTTGATACAGTCTGCATTCAGAAGTGTGGGAAAATATATACATATATATCGTCAGCGTGATGAAAAATCTCGGTGTTGAAACCTATGATCACGTTTCAATCGCTAGTTCATGAGAACCAGAAAACTGACGAGTTTAATGTGGGCAATAGTGTTTTCCATGTCAGTTGATTGATGCAACACTCCATGGTGTGTAGAGATTTTTTGTCCCCCAAATTTTAATCGGCAATCAATCATCCACTTAATAGAACAAGAGGATAATGCTGACACGGGAATGAGTGGTTACCGAGAAATTTGACCCGTCTAAGTCGCAGTGCAATCCAGGTAGTTAACGAAAGAACATTCTTAGGCTAAAGGACAAATTTCTGTCCGGCCTCGGCAAACGACTATCACCCAAAACGTATACGCTGCTATCTAACTCACCCCGTCCTACTGTGGCTGAAGTAGGTCGTTTAAGCCATCATTCTCAAAACCATATTTTTACTAGTGGTCGGTATCAAACGCATTCACAGTTATTGACGATCCTCATCATGCTTCTAGTATTCATTTGATGGCCAACCTCCGTTGTACCAATAGGGTCCGGTGTAGACTACTGGAATTTTTCGGATGAGTGAAATTTAATGTGTCCTTATCATCTGTGTATGACGCAAGTACGTACATGATAGTCAACCAGCATCTTAAAGGCTATACATAGCCCGTCGTTTCGTAACTTAAATATACGGCCTAGCTTACCAACATCGTTCCGACACACTTTCGGAAAGGTTTACTCATTTTACCCCAGGTGGTGTGGGCTACAGTACAGCTTGTGGCTATTGAAAGACGGAAAAACCTGTGAGTTGAATAGCTACTGCTTGTTATATTCAATAGAATTCGACGTCGAAGCACTGCGCTTATCTGATAACCGGTGAATAAAAGAATAATTCCCCGCAAGGTCAAACAGCCTGGAGCCACGAAAAAGTTTAATAGCACTTTTCACCTTCAGCCGACACTATTTGGAGCAGTGAGCTAAATTCGCAAATCCTCAATAAGACTGTCGGCGACATTATCTCCCCTTTCTTGTCTGCGAGGACTGGCGAAAACATAAGACGGCGCCAAATATGTAATTTCAGTGTTAAATGACAGCATTTTCCAGACCAACATTTCTGTCTGTGCATGTAAAAAATGTTACCGAAAGTAGCGGTGAGAGGGAAAGGAATTATATTATCACATAAATTCATCTGAATCGTAGCCATCTTCGTTGGTCCGCATTTTACTTTCGACGAACAAGCGGTCATAGGAGCGCCGCTCTGCCTCAGCTTCGCGTAATTTTTGAGCCTCTCGTTCGGCTTTTTTCCGGGCAGATTGTGCGGCCTTTTCTTTGGCGCGCATCTGTTGATCCCGCTCCTCACGAAGTGCGCGAAGATCTACGGCTGACCGTTCTTCCTTCGTCTTCTCTAGACGTTTAATGACCTCCCCAATTCGTTTTTCCACAACAATTTTTCGAACCAGTTTTCCGTTGTGAAATCCAACTTGTCCAACAGCCATATCGCCAGTCTTTTTTAGATTTTCCCACATTGTGTAGACAACAGTCACATCGTTCAACTTGCAACCCTGTAAAAGATGGGGGCAGTGAGTTCGTGACATAAAAGTGAATGGAAAATTGAGATAGGACAAGATAAACCACCCTCAGAGGTGTCCTTATTTTTGATAGAAACCAAATGATTTGTCCCGATGTTCAGATACAGGTTCATAGCGTACTCTTATGAAAGGTGGTCAGTCACCAGTTTTTGGTGAATATCACTAATCAAACGACTGGGGATGTTCTCTGAACTGATACTACCTGCTTGGAACGTTGAAATTAGTATTCATGCGACAAAAGGTCAGTGGCTGCACTGGGTTTATCTGAAGCAGAATCTAACTATAACGATGAAGATGGTAAATTTGGTAAGATTCGCTATCGAGAGCATTTGTTCTGAAGGGTGAAGTGTCATCACCAATCAAGATGCTCGCTTGGCGTTTCCCAAATAGAGATATCAACGGTGTCAGCCGTGGAGGATTGATATCAAATTGCAGCTGCACTTCATGTAGCACAGGCGTGAGCAAAAAAATCGCGGATCCTCTTGCTCAAGCTCTGCATGAGTTTATTGGGACAACCAAAAGAGTAAGGTCCGGGTTGGAGGAAGACCGTCAACCATTTACGGTTGCGCACTATATTAAATGCTTGGACATCATAGATTGCACTCACTAGGGTATTTGTTACTCATGGGAGTGAGACGTTTTCCGTGGCTGGTGGGGGTTGGACGAAATTCATGTCAAGTCACAGGTTCATTTATTCGTTCAAATGGGTGTATTTTCAGCTCTTAGCAGATCGGGTTATTCATCATCGCACACAGTCACAGAGAAAAAGTAAAACGGTATTCCAAATCATCTCCAGGCGAGGTTGAAGGATTTAAGTCAACTTGTGTTGTGCATACAGTTCGGGCTCCGCGAGACTAATGCGAATCACTGCTGAGAATGCTTACCAACAAAAACTGATTGACCTCCGGGTGTTGAGACAATGTTGTAAAATTTCAGCATACGTTAAAATCTCTAAAAAATTGGGCAGCATTACCGTACAGCGGAATACTGTGTATCGAACTTCACCACTGTATCAGTCAGTGTGGATCTTCATGTTGTAATAATTGCCTTCACGTTTTTTTATTGCACGTGTGATTTACAGTAAAAAACAAAATTTCCATAGTCAAAGAGTACACTGTGTAAAGGAGAGTAGAGCACCATTCACGTGAGATCCAGCTCATTGATTTTGAGTTTAAAGAGTATGAGGTTGGAGGAAAGACAGAAAGTGGGAGGGTGTTCCAAAAGTTGGAAGTTCGGTGCAAAAAAGGACTGGGGCAGAGAAGTACACCTGATGACCGAAATCTGGCAAGAATGGTCAGATGCCTGTGCATGGGATAGGCGCGCAAACGTTACAGGAACAGACACTGCCGAGGCGAGCTCTGAAGAACAAAAGACAAAGTAATAACAGCAGAGAAGAGACAGTGAAACATCTACCAGACGATAGGCTAGTGTGACTCTAGGTGGTTGGTGGATCGGGGCTTGTAAGAAAGAAGACGGTGATCCGATGAGCCAAGAGGAGGAAGAGTACAAATATCTAAGAAGAAAGAAGAGGTTGAAGTGAGAATTAGATCCAGGGTGTAGGCACGATCGCCAGCTCAATCGTGGACACATGTGAGGAGGTAAACTATTTGGCTCAGGTTGTTGACCAAGGCGAGATATTTGGGATTCTGGAGGTGGCGATTGATTGGTGGATAAATGCGCAGACGCCATCTAGCTTTCAATCATTTTCCAATAGTCGCGAAGATCCTCGCTTTTTTCTAACCCATTCTTGACTTCAAAATTTTAAGTCTGGTTTTTCTCACCCAGTGACATTTACTTTACGCGATTCATNTTCATCTCTTTTCCACAACTATGCATAACTGAAGCGAATCACCAGCACTTTTATGAAGATTACCAGAAGACGGTTACTATGACTGGATAGAAAAAAGTTAAACAGGAAATAGAATAATGCTGTTGGATACTGCTAAAGATGGGGCGCAGTAGGGTTTTGGTTTAGGGGAAATTAGACGCGTATACCTTTTGCAAGAAGCTGATATGAGCTAGTTGTTCCGGAAACACAGCTGGTACATTACTGGATTCAGGTTTTATTAACAGCAAAGAATTGTGCCCCTCTAATAACTACTGTAGGTATTGCTCTCATTGTCTGTCGCGTATGAACCCTCACTTTTATTATCATTAGTCAGGGATGAAACCTGAACCTGATGGACGTCTAGTGTAAAGCTTACAAACCAGAGAGTTGGATATTCTGCGCGCTTCGTTAGAATCTACGAATTCTCTATCGCAAACTTATGGCATGTTTGTTCTGGCCACTTGACAGTGCTACTTCATATGGCTACTTTGTATAAACTACAACGACGAAAAATTATCCGCCGTATGATACCCCCCTCCCCCCGAATAACGAAATAATAAAAAAATTAACAATATGTAAAACCCAATGAAATAATCTGCTAGTTTTGATAGCATCGGCTCTATGCTCATACAAACCGTCCAAATAATGTTAAAAATAACATTCAAAGTATTAACAGGATACTGTTACCTGGATACTGTTATCCTTGACAAGTTGTGCACAGTCTTGTATGACTGCATCCGGAACGTCATCCAATGTTTCACCCTCTCTGAGCCTCAAGTAGACATGCGCTGATGAAAGCTTGTCTACATGAAACCACACATCTTCCGGCCAGCCCCATCGGATCAATTCGTCGTTTTCATTTTTGTCCGCACCCATGTACAAGATGTATGGTGGATGAACAAGCTCACATTTATAGTAAAAAACCATGACGAACTGCAATGCTGAGGAAAACAAACAATTGGTATGAAATTGTCAAAAAATCTGAGAGTGGTACTCTATCACTGGGAAGACATTTCAAAATAAACCTTCATAAGAGAGGTGGGAAATTCATTTCAACACATATTTACATCTTTATAGGGTAGGAGCACTGTGCGATTAAAACAGTCAAAGTTAGATCTCTAAGCACGTGTCTGAGCTTTCAGGCGTGATGCAGTTACGTTGTTGTCCTAACAAAGGAAATGTATGGCCTAAAACTTTGCTAGTATACCCGTTCATTGGTACTGAATCGTGACTATTACCGATAGCCACAGTCTTACTACATCTTACTACACTTCCCTGCTCTATACTTCTCGCGGTCATTCTTCAGACGCTTGATGAGCTGGCGTTTAAGGGACTTGCGCGCTTTGTCGTATTTGGTATCAAAACGAATGGCTTTGCGAGCGTCCAGCAGGACAAGCGAGGCCGAAGAGATTCATCGTTTTTGCTTCGATTGTTCGCCAGAATTCGTTGTTAGCTTGATTGACACTTGGATCGCTTCCCTGATTACCGTCCAGTGTTCATTGAGTTCTTCGGCTGAGCTGAAAGGCGATCAGATAGTTCCGCTTCGAAGGCCAATTTCCAACCATTGCTGACACTGTATAGTAGGCATCCGTTTTCTGTGGTTGTTTACTAGGCTCGCAGTAGAGCATGGTCCGCCTCCACGAATGTTGACTAGTAACAGCGACAGTCTACAATAGAACCTCGCCAGAGATCGCTGATGGCGATGTGATCAATTTGAGTCCAGTGCTGTGAAGAGGTTGGCGGTTTCCATGTTAGGTGTAGTTTATTGTGCGAGAAGTTGGTGCTTAACAGGAACAGTTCGTTTTTTTATTCCACACCTTGGGATAATGAACAGCAGACGGGGAAAGCCCCATAGTCACGAGGAACTTGTGTTCAGTGATGGAAACCGGCAACCTTAGCCCTGGAACGTGGAGTGACGAAATACATGGGCGCAGTATTGAAACAGACGACAGTTAAGTTGCCTACCACCAAAGTTGGGTGGCGGTGACGGGGCTCGAACCTCGGACCACAGGGTTCAAAGCACGCTAGTGACAGTGACTAAACCACCACCCCATCGCGCAAGACCTTTGGCTTTCTGTTCAGTGCTGTTTGCTGATGCGTTGATTTATGGTCCGCTTTTCGGAATCGGCCCTTAGCTTCATGCATCCAATGAGACAGGCGGAAAGTGGACGGGATGGCACTTTATAGGCTGATTGCCCAGCTTGGGCTAGCGGTAGCTGTCCAATGAAGTGCGAATACTTCTCCCACCTTCGTAAGGAAACCCCAGGCACCGCGTTCCTACGCCCATCTAGAGGGGTTCTTTGACTAGTTAACTGCCCTTCTCTGTGCTTATTTGCTGCAGTAATCTCTCCCAAATGTAGAGTGGATAGTCGAAAGAAGCCAGGAGGTGCCCAAGCAGCAGGTCTTGGGTGACCGAGCTTTTTCGGGCCTCAACCCATTGACCTTTCAGGCGTTACAAATCGAAAACCCACCAGCATCACCAGATCATCCGCGACCGATTATTCAGCCTATTTACCACCAAGGTGATTGTTCTCCTATCTGCGACTTGGAGACGCATTCGGTAGCTTTCAGCTGTGCCATCCGTAGACAATACCTTGGCTACTAAAAGATTACGGCTTACACTCCGTCCCATTTGAATAACTACAAAAAATTGGAAGTAAAGCTTTACAGTGTCACGATTATTAGTTCCTTTTAGTGACAACTTTCTAGGTTAAGTATCTACCACAGGTTAACGGAGAATGTATTGGCGCCATTTACGGACACTGTGTTTCATATACACTAGCGGGGAACTTATGGAAAACGAACCGTGTAACACATTACCAGGCTAAGTGATCCACGATAAATGCAACAACTCTACTAAACAGATACGATGCCCATTGTGAGAAAACACAAAGTAGCGAACAAGCTCGTTTGCGGTGACTCTTCTACAGGCTAATACATCACAATTTATATCAAACTGTTTGGCTGCGGGGAGAGATCAAGACAAGTTTATTTATAACCATCGTCCTCTTCCCATTGGTTGACCCATTTGCATTGTGCCCTTGTTCTGTACCAGTTATTTAGCAAAAGTCCCACCTGCTCAAACAAACGCACGGCTTCTTATGGCGGTCCTTGAGTGACCCATATAGATCTACACTCGCGCTACTGCTTGATGATCTCGTCTGATTGACTGCACCTACCCGACTGTTCACACTATTTGGCACAGAGATCAGCTGTGCCCGTGACTTTAAGANTTTGGCACTGCCGAGCAATACCTTATTTTCTCTTGAGGTACTTACATTAGGTAGTATCTTGATGACTGTACTAACCCAGATACCTCACGAATCAAAGTTTGCACACAGTTACCACGTATTGATATTAACAGCATCGCACCACAAGACAGTTATCACCATCACCATTGTAAAGCAAAATGCAGTAGTGAACTTCACTGATCACTGCCAGACTCATGATGCACACAAGCTGAGTGAGGATGTGTAAGGAGAATACGGATCAGGCCTATTTTTATGGACGGGGAAATTCAAACTCTGTGGTCAACAAAGAGTACACAGTCCAACTATGCACACACGTTTTTAAACATTCTGGTCTGATAAGCAGTGACAGTAAGATCGCCACTGCAGTCGGTTTGCTGCCATGACCTTCAGTGTCTCCAACCATCCAGTTACTCAGTCTTATGGACCACATCCCGGAGGACGAGGGACATCTACTCCACCTAATCGCTCTGTGCATTTCTTCATGACTCGTCTCCAAGTAATCTACTGGCCTCCCTATGGCTTTCTCCAGTCTGAAACGGTCATTGAAAATAAGGCACGATGGGGTAGACAACTTTTAGACATACACAAAAGGTGTCCAGCGGAGCCAATTAAGCTGAATTCGATGTGCTACTGAGTTGGGTATTTGATGCGTTCCCAGACACCAGACAAATTACCTCTAGGTTACTAACCCGTTCACTCAATCCGACCTGAGTTAGATTACGTAAACATTGATTGTCGAAGACCTCCAGGCGTTGGATGTCTTCTAATCACAAATTCAAGGTCCCGCAACCGTAAAGCAGAAGCGATCGTACAATGGCGCAGTACACGCGACTTTTCAACTTCGGTGAAACGTCACGTCTTCACCACGGGTGTTGTAGTCCGGTGCACGCTGCCCGAGCCTTAAAAATGCGGGAGGTTAACTCATTTGACCCGCTACCGTCGGTGGCCACGCAGCTAACCAAGTATGAGAAGCAGTCAACTTTCGTTAATTCAAGACCATCTAGTTTCAAAACGGAACTCGGACACACCCAGTCTTGCAGCATCACTTTGTACTTTGAAGGTGCAAAACGCATACCGAACGGTTCAACAGAACTTGCTTGTTTGTCAGACGCTCTTTGCACGTTTTCCATATATTAGTAAAGGTAGATGATGTCATCAGACTACTCTAATTAGCAGAGCTTTTCTCCTACTGCTCATTCAATAGCTACATCTGAGAGGCCACTTAAGTCGCTCTCCAGTATTTCGTCGATGACGAAATGGAACAGGGATTGCGAAAGAGGGTACCTTTGACGAACGTCAATGCTAGTTACGAACGATCTACTCAGTCCGCCGTAGACTCTTATGCTACCAGAATTGTGTGAGCAGAGTGAACTCATAATTCTGCGGCATTTATTTACGAATGAGCGAATCCATAAGGGATTAGCGATCACCTGAGTCGAAGACCCCCTTTTAGGTCAAGGAACGCAACAACCGTTGGTCGACGTTGTGTGTGACGCAAAGTGAAGATTCGGTCAATACAACCGAGACCTGATCGAAATCCTGCTCGTTGTTCGTGGACAATCGTCTCCCTAAACGGTGTCAGACGTCGAAGAATGACGGAGGCTAACACTTTGGTGACGATTGAGATCAAACTTCCACGGTGGTTTACGCAGCCGTTGTGAGATCCCTTCTTAAAAATTGAAACGATAAGTAATTCGCTACAGGATGGTGGATTACACTCTTGTGACCCGATGTTACGCATTAAATCAGTAATAGAGTCAACGAGGTCATCGCCTTCCATCTTGAAAAGCGTGGAAGTCCGTTAGATCTTACTGCTTTTACTTTCTTCAGCGCTTGGATGCAAGAACGTAATTCTGTTTCAGTCGGAGGTTCACATGGCACTGCCCACGGAGACTCAACTAGAACAGACGATATAGTCTGGTTGCCGCCTGGCCAGCTGAACTGGTCGTTGAAGTACTCCGCCCACTGGTCAAGTCAGTGTTCCCAACTGTGAATAGCCTGCCCACTTGTTTCACTAACCCGATTTCGCCGACCTACCGTGTTGCGCATCAGTTGGAACAGTCTTTGGCTATTCCCTGATGCAGCTGCTGTTTTCATTTTATTAGCTATTGTTGCTCACCATTTTTCACGGTCTTTCTTGAGGCTATTCGTGAGCTGACGTTGCAGACGCCAGCTACCCCAGTTTTGATCCGGAGAGGTCAGAAGTTGCCGCCTTTTCTCCATCAGTGCTACTCACTCATTAGCTATCCGAGGCCTCGGACGGACTACCGCTTCAGATCCACAAGCAACCCTTGCTGGGGAGTGCATTGCTCGTCTAATCTAGTCTCACTGTTCATTTACACTGCCACACTGAAGCGCGTTCAGCTCTTATCCTAGTTCTGATTCAAAGCGGGTACGAACGGTTGGGTCATATAAACGATGATCTGCCTACCGAGTTTGGTGAGGGTTTCTGCGACCAGTGAGTCGAAAAGTGAACTGCATCAGAGTAGGTGGTCTAAAAGGACCTGCAGTTTCGCGCTGAGCCAAGCTAACGGTAGTCTACTTTTATGTGGTCGATCTGAGTTAGCGCTGCAGTCGAATAGGAGCGCCACGTTGCTGTCCGTTAAGAGTTGTCGGAAGTTGGTACTGGATGGGAACAAATTGCGATCTGCGCAGAACTGAAGAATACCATCACTG